CACATGCACCACCATCGAATCACCATCATTTTTTTCAAACGCCCAAGCCACTGCCCTACCAACCTCAAGGGATGCAACGACATGTTCTTTTGTTGGACCTCACCGACCTGAAAGCCGTTGCATTCGGAGTAAGGAACAGCAAAAAGCAGCAATATAGAGGCCTAAGAAATTGCCTACACAATTTTGTGGGTTCCTCATTATATAGGGATAATATAATATACCCCAAAACCCTATTCTAATAAAAAAGGCCCCTACATTAGCATGGGCGTTCGTCAGGCCTGGCCATGTCTTCGCCCCTCACAAGCTCAAGGCGCAAACTGGTGTGGATCTTGAAGCTGGTAGGTTCCTCCAGATGGGTAGTTGTCAAAAAACATGGTCCCTTTTCGGGTACCCTAAATAATAGGTGCCGTATTATAATAAGGACCACAAAGGGACCAAAATTTTGACAACCACCCAGATAGACAGACTTTAGCTTTAGAAGAAGACTCTGCACGCAGGCACTGCTTCTCATTGTCATGGGTTCCCTCTTCCTCCTGCCGGCGGCCTTTTTCTGGCGAGAGCTGATCTGCTCCGCTGCTTAATTGCCATCTTTCTTCAGATTCCTTTGGTCGATTCCAAGGCTCGGAACCTACAGCAGTGCCGGCCACTCAGGCAGTCCTCGCAGCCGCTTTCATAGTCCGAGCTACTACTAGGTGTTAGTTTGTTTGCATATATACCTCCGTCTCTTATGTTTTCGCGAGCGAGACCCTTCGGGCTTGCTCAACATTCCGAATCATTGGCCAGCAGTCCCGCTGCCGAGGTTCTCGATGTCTTGGCGCAACTGTCCGAGGGGTCCCGTGCCAAGCCTTGTAAACAGCATCTCCCTCGTTTAGGGCGAGCAAGTCCAATGCTGGGGCCGTAAGAATGTCATTATCGGGCTCCGTCAGATTCAAAGGGTTGGGTTGTGGACATTCGCGCAGTTGGCTCGCAGATATCTGCAAATGAACTTTGCAGATCAGAGGCCATGCTGTAATCAAACAGTGGCGTAGACTTGGAGGTTCATGGATAGTTATAAGTAGGGTTCTACGTCCCCTAATATGGGTTATAACTATAGTTACCCTACTTATAACCCCACTAAAAACTACCCATGAACCTCCAAGTAGATTCAATCAGGCTTCTCGGAAGGGGTCTTCCTGGCCAGCCCGGCCCAGGATGACAACAGCTTCAGGATTTCAAGAACGGAGACAGGCTGTTGTTCGGAATGCCAAGAACAGTTGCACGGCGTGAAAATTGAACAGCTCACTCCTATAATTTGAGCAGATGTTGATGAAAGAGCAGCTATCGTCGCCGTACAGCAGAACACTACATCGCTAGCCAACAACGCGACGAAACGTGGCACATGATGGCATGCTACTCATACAATAGTCAATAGGGCCAT